GATGAGAAAAGTGGGAAGGGGAGAGTAGATATTGAGATCAGAGAGAAGAGAGGGCTGAGACATTGATGTTAAAGAGGAGAATGTGTTCACAGATAGAGAAGAGATATATCGAGGGAGATCAGAGGGGAGTGAGAGACAGAGATGTGAGGCTAGTATTGACAGAGGTGAGAGAGGCAGAGAGACAGGAGAGTGGGAGTTGAGAGAGCGAGAGAATAGAGGGAAATCAGAGCGAGAAATGGAAGGCAGAAATGGGTCATCAGATTAGAAAACAACAAAGAGAGAGGAGAGGAGGAAAAGAAAGGGAGAGCTCAGAGAGGAGGAGGAGAAAATGTTGAGAGGTGATGAGAGAATTTATGAGAAAGAAGAGATAGTTCAGAGAGTCAGATGGGGAGAGAAATGAGAGTGACATCAGAGAGAAGAGCAGGTCAAATAGGGAGTGCGGAGAGAGAAAGGAAAGGCAGAAGATAGGTCTCAGTGGTGGAAATCGGGGTGCAGGGACAAGAAATTAGAAAAGAACATAGAAGAGAGTGAGGACAACGAAGAATGAGTCCAGAGAATAGAAGAAAGAGTGGAGAGAGGGTGAGAGGGAGAAAGAAATGACAAGAATGAAATCAGAGACAAGAGTGGGAGCTGAGAGAGAGCAGGGCGATATGTGAGAAGAGACAGGGCAGGGAGGGGAAGGTGAGTTCTGAGAAGGAGGAAGAAGAGAGGGGGCAAGTAAAAGGTAGATGAGATCAGAGAGAAGAGCAGTTTAGAGGGAATGACGGAGTTGGAGATCACAGGGTGGGAGAGGAAAGAGCAGAGGGAGCTCAGAGAGGGAAAGGGAATGATGCAGATCAGAGGGAGAGTGACAGAAACAATTGGGAGAGAAGGGGCAGCAGAAGGAGGAGAGAGGGGACTAAGGAATAGGAGAGAGAGAAGGAAGAGAGTGAGATTACAGAGATGATCAAAGAAAGAGGAGGAGGAGGATGAAGGGAGTAAGAAATGAGAAACCGATCTCGGAGGACAGGGAAGAGATTGGAAGCAGAGCAGGAGAAGAAAGAGTAGAGAGAGAGTTCACAGAGGCAGAGACAAGTGAGAAGAATGAAACCAGAGAGAAGAGGGAGCACAGAGAGAGCCATCAGAGAGGTGATCAAAGGGAGCACGGGGAGATAGAGCAGAGAGAGTTTGGAGAGAGTGAGCAGGGAGATGAGACAAAAGAGGCACATCAGACAGAAAAATAGGGAGATGTGACAAGAGTAAGGTCAAAGA